TGAAACTGAAAGTGGATTAAGAAACAAATCATACAAGTATGGATGGATGTTTATTAGATTTGGGCAATCTTAAAACCATATCCAGAACAAGGACATAGAAATGTGATAAGAATATGACCCCCTTCACTGTAAAGAAATCAAGTGAGCAAAATGTTTATTTACAAATATTTTGCACTAGCTGTTAACTAAACTGTCTGTAGTGGAACAATACTTCATTCAAAAACCTAATTCTGAATTTGAACCAACCAATCTTGGCTCGTTACCATAAGTGCTGCATGCAAAGAGAAGTAGCATATATTTTGATTAAAAATTTTATTGTTGACTGTCAAATCATGATCAACGACCTTCAAAATTCAAGACTAGCATACACCATTAGATTGTCAAGGTGATTTAAAATTTGTCAAGATGACAAGCAGCAATACATACATTTAGATAACTTAAAACTTTTTAGTAATTTTGTCCATGTGCATCAGCCACGAGGAGGACTAGATACTTTGAACATTTGTGTATATATATTGTAAAGTGCTTAATTTTTCATAAAGATAGTTATTTGGTTGAGTGTCCTTTTTGATATTATAAATGTTTAATGTGCTAATCATTGTACTGATTTTGCCCATAATCATGATAATGGGTCCTCTATTGGAAATAAAATTTATCTTATCATACACATGTATGCATGATACATGCATGTTGCAGATTAAAACATAAAACTACATGTATATACATGTAACACCATGTGATGGAACTAGCATCTTTTTCCTATCAATGTTAAATAAGGAATAGTACATGTAATACAAATTGAATATTACCATTATAGAAGTCAGCATGGACAGATTTCTCATTGGCTGCCAAATCCATTAGTAGAGCGCTAGAACCTCCAGCCTAAAAGAATAATGGACCATGTGGAAGTATTAAATTAATCAAAGTGTTATCTGGTGTACAAATGTAGTTAGTTGGTATGATCAAGCATTTATAAATATGTTTTGAATGACACATTTTGAGTTTGGAGTTATTTCCCTGGGGCGCCTTTTTGGAGAATACTTTGATTTTCTTATTTTACTTATCAAATTGAAAAATTTGATATGAAGGAATTTCTGCACTTGACCTCCATCATGGCAACAAAAGGGAAGTTACTCTTGCTCAAATTTTGTCAATCCCAAACTATCTATTATTATGAAGATCCAACAATGGGTTATGTACAAGATTAATAATTGTGGTTCAAATTCCAAAGTTGAAGTATTAAAAAACCTTTGTGAGCATGCTTACATACCCAATGCCCCACATTGTCAATGGGCAAACAAATCTTACCAGATTCCTATTAGAGTTCAAAGACTCCTAACTCATAAGTCAATTGATAAAAGTTTCTTTTGCACATCTTCATATTATGTCCTTATTGTGTGGTTTCAGAGGAGTTGTGATGACTATAACAGGACTGACCAACAGGTCAAAAAGATTATACCCTATAGAACATTTTAGTGGGGTATAATAACCAATAGATATATTATGAAATATTTATACCTGCATGTTGATAATTGAGATATTTCTTCTGTCACTTTTTTCAAACTAATAAAAATATTACTTTTTTTCTAAATTTACAGTATTTGTTCATCTGACATGTTAAATACACTGACTTCTGCGATCCAACATTAATTTATTCTTTATCTTAGCACCAAATTATCCTCTATTTTTTATTTTTTCCTCAATTTCTCTATTGTTCATTGTTTATCTCATTTTTCTCTATTAGTAATGCAGGTCTGTAGTTGAAGTTAAAAAAACATCTGGAGAGAAAATTCTTTAGTACTTATTAATACCACTTATAAGTTATAACAACATTTTCAATCACTCAGAAAAAAATTGATAATTAGAATATATTACTTGCAAAAAATCATGTTAAACATGGGTGCTAAAATAACCACATCAGGTGCCAAGTTGACTAGGTACCAAATGGTTCGCCCTGGGTCCGTTTTCACCCTTCTTTTATTTAAAACATAATAAATATTAATGGTATTAATTAAGGTTTTATAAACTTATTCAGATGTGTATAAGGTAAATATTAAAGAAAATACATATTTCTGAAAAGTCATGAAAAAAACATGGAAATATTTAAAAATTAATGGTTTGTTTTGGAGCATAATTGGCTTCATTGATACAAATGTTTTATTTAGAATTTCTTTTAATGACTTTTGATTTTAATTTAGAATGGTATAATTATGAGGTCTTTTATTTAGTAAATCATGGTGTAGAAATGTAGAGTGAATGGCTGTGTGATTGTGTCCTTTTAATATTTGTTTTTACATAGAATATTTCAATTCAGTGCTTTTTCAAATATTGTAATAGGACATAACTGGTGTGTGATGCAAATGACTAATGACAAACTTTAACATACTTTATTCAAATAATTGACATTAAACAACAAGATAACAAAATAAAATAAAAAACAGGGCAAACAGACCCAAGGCGAAGGGGTGTCAGGGCGAACAGGTATTGTTTTCTGCTCTTTGGTCAGGTTGTTGTCTCTCTGACACATTCCCCATTTCCATTCTCAATTTTATTAAGGCGAACAGGTACTAGGGTGAATGTGAATCAAGGCGATCAGACCCTCATTTGTACCAAATTGACTAAATGGGTGCCAAAGTGTTAAATAACAATTCATAATAATAAGTACAGTATATATTTAGTGAAAGATTAAATTGAAATGACACAGTAAATAATTAATTGAAAAAAAGAAGAAAGTTCGATATATTTGGTGCAGTACAGTGTATCCACACACCCAGACTTTTGGTTTCACTTTGGTAAACTCTTAAAACCAATAATGAATTAATATTGTGTGAACAAATTCATGACGTACTTAAATTTTATGAAATATTTTTAAAATATTATTCCCCTCAAGATTTAGTGCAATGTGTGTCCAAATAAGGGCAACCCGTGTTTTGACAGTTTCTCAAATGTCCTGTGATTTCGAACATGCCTTCTAAAAATATTTAATCTTGAATAAAGGAAAGATTGCATACTACAAATTTCAGTTTGAACCAAATAGACTGCCAAAGATGCAGAACAAAAGTAAATTCATTTTGATAAAATTTGCCATAAACTGAAACTATATTTATTGAATGTTGAAATACTTAAATATGGTTAATGGCATTGCAATTATTAATTTATGCTTGAACTTATCAATCATAATTATGCTGTCCATTCGTTAGACTAAAACAATTACAAGTTGAAGAATGATTCTATTTATATCATATTGCGAATACACCTAATCGCTATTTATTCCATTCCGGATAAGTTCTAAAATTACACAACTTTTTCATCCAGTTGACGCTATCTGGGACCCTGTTTAAACAATGCACCATGCATGATACTTTTTAATGAGACCAGTTTAAAACATCGTAAATACTTCAAACACAATATTTTTTTGACTTTAATTTGAGTTTGGAAAAAGTGGATCATAATCTATCAAAGTTTCCTACTGATCGCTTTCTAAGTTTTTCCCTCCCTCAGCTCGTTACTGATGACCTTTGTTTGCGGCCTGTTGACCCAAACAGGAAGTTGTCTAAATGACTGTTTTTTCCGGATTGGACTAAATAGCGATAAGGTGTATTGAGGCAATCACTTACATGTAAATGAGAGGCGAAAGATATCAAAGGGACATTTAAACTCATAAGTCGAAAATAAACTGACAAGGCCACAGCTAAAAAAGAAAAAGACCAACAAACAAACAACAGTTCACATTGCGCTGTAAGGAAGCAAGTCTGACCCCCCTTTTGAAAAGGCTAGATTTACTCATTTCACTACTGGGGTGAGTTGGTAGGCCATTATTACAGTGGGATAAAATTACTTTTGAGTGGGGCGAGTTGGTAGGTCTTTATTCATAAGGATTAAAATATCATAAGTAGGGCCAGTTGGCAGACCTTTATTTATCTGATTTAAACCTCCTTTTCATAAGTGGGCGAGTTGGCAGGTCTAACTCTAAATTCAGCATGATTTAACTCTTTTCATTATTCGGACGAGTTGGTAGGCCTAAATTCTCTATTCATAAAAATTAAACTATCATAAGTGGGGCGAGTTGGCAGGTCGAAATTCAGCATGATTTAACTCTTTTCATTATTCGGACGAGTTGGTAGGCCTAAATTCAGCAGGATTTAGATTCTTTTAAATAATGTGCAGAGTTGGAAGGCCTTATTTCAGCGGGGATTTAAACCCTTTTTCATTAGTATTGTGAATTGGTAGAAAGTTGTGGTGAGCTGATTTAGGGCGATTTGGCAACGGGGGAGTTGTCATGGATGCCACTATATCATTGGCAGTGCAGACACACAAAGGTTCCTGTAAAGATTTTGACATCACAATAGAAAATGTCTATCGCCACAAAGGTATGCATCAATAGTTCAAATGTCACAGATTCCCAAATAGTGATAAGGTCTATTATACTATGGACCGCACATTATCAAAAAAAAAAAAAAAAAAAGACTGAAGGGCCTCTGGTAGAGTTTTTAGACTGATTTCATGGTTCTACTAAAGTACTTTGCTACACTGAACTGAAGCCAGTGAAGGTACAGGAGTGGTGCAAAGTATTACTATTAGACCGAGTTACCCTACACGGAATTCTAGTCACTTCGGCACCTCAATACTATTACTTGATATTCATTATTACTTCTTCAATGTCCATGTATGGTCCTGCTCCCTCAGGAAACATTTCATCGACAGCCACGATTGACGGTTTCATGGTTGTTGCTCTGACAATCTACAATAAAGTGTAAATTTGACACCAGCATATAGCTTTTTTTGTAGCTGCTGAACTTTTTTTCTTTGTAACGTCTTTGAAAATTTCTACATCCACCATATCTACAGGATACAAAGCACTGTCAACATGTAACACCATGCTTTATTTCAGTTCTCATATACTCATAAAAGAAATTAAGAATATCCTAAATAATTTCAAATTCAGAAAAATGCTTTTTTATTAATGTAGATGAACACTTTACAAAATGATTTCAGAGAAGTCAAGGTCACATGACATAGTCATATGATCCGTATGAGCGGCAGGTGATTTGGATTTTGAGATATTATTGATATATTTGGTAAGCATTGACACATTCTCATTGCCTTGTGTGTCACTGAAATACGACAGTACCGATTTAGAATTTGTTTTATATTATTTTCTTTTTGTTTTAGGTTTTCTGGATCCTAAAATATTTACATTTCAATATCATTCTGAAAAATGAACGGTTTTACTCTTCTGATCACCGCCCTCCTCTTAATTGGTAAGTATTTCGTATTATCGGATAGTACAATGTAGTTTACACAAGAGTCATTCTTGTTATTTTAAATTATTTCTTTGATATAAAATTGTAAAGAACATGCATGACTGACATTTACAACCAAACACGGGGCCTAATCTAGGATTTTGAAGAGGGAGAAGTGACTTCTCCTTCCATGAGAGAGAAGGGAGAAGTGAGATTCCATTACCGTTTCGGTTGCATCGTGTTTTCAAGCTTATCACTAAGGAAATTGTTTTATATTCAATAAAAGATGTACTTTCAGTTTTTTCATATGTTATTGTACACAATGTATATATAGAAAGTTCTTAATAAAAAAGGTTTAGACAATATATAGTTGTTATTTATTTATTGATACCATAATGTGTTCTAAATAAAATTTGTTGATTGGGACATGAGGGAGTAGCCTAGTAATATTATCAAGATTATGATGCATTAAATTCATGTGCATCTGCCTCAATTTACTTTTAAAACAAAACTCCAGAAAAATATGATGAATTTCACATGACTGGGAATTTAATTTATATCACCACTTGTCATTGTTTTGTAAAACATTATTGAATGTCCAGGACATTTATATTAGTTGTAGTAAATTGAGATTATCGTTAAAGATTGTAAGTCTATAAATGAAAATATCTTTCAATCTCAAGTTAATTATCCGATAAAGAGCTCATTTCTATCATTTTTTTAAAAATATCATCCATATCAACGAAGTGGTCATGAGAAAAAATCCACTGCTGATCACAATCTGGTCGAGTGTCGTACGTTTGCAATCACATTATCCATCAGCTGTCTTTCTACCTTTTATATTTCAATTTTATTCAATGAATATAATAAATCTACCGTTAATTCCCACCCTTTACCTACCGAATAGTAAAATTGATCGACTCGTGTAGGTAATAAAAATAAAACAAATCAGCTGAGTGATTACTTAACATCCTCAGATGAAAATCATCGTAAAACGATAACTTAAACAGACGGTCAGTTTTCCGTTTGAACAGTTTTGAAAGTTATATCCGAGGATGTTCAAAGTCGCCGTTGTATTTATTTAATTTGATCGATTACAGTATTAGTCCTGTGTCGTTTCCTCGATTTTCCTTGTCAGCCGCCATTTTTTTTACCTGTGAGACTTGTCAATCACAAGTTGTCTCCCTTTTACCGATTTTGATAGCGATTTGACTTTGCTATGAAGTCAGTCGGCCGGCGAAATTTAGCGATTTTCAAAATTCTTTGGCGACTTAAATCGTCATTTCGCCGGCAAGATTATGGCCTGCAAACCTGAGCAGAAATTCCACATAAATGTGTATTGTCCCCATAATTTATTGGTCCATGTATTAACTATTATACCCCAAATTGAGTATAAATAGACTATTTTCATATTATTATGTACTTTAAACCAAGGCTTCCAAAACGGTCATATATTCCGGACATTTGTATAATGTCCGGTAAAAGTCCGACTGGGCAAAGCATGAAACGGACATCTACTTTTTAGTTTTCAAGGCTTAAGAGACAGTCATTTTAAAAATAACTCGCGATCTTTTTGACCCAACCTTTTGCCTTTAACAGCCACACATTTCCGGTCATAAAAGTGACATGATCATTAAGTACTTTCAAAACAACCCCCTACTTTAATACCTTCTCATTTTAATCAAGGCTAATTAGTTGTCGAACAGCTGAAATTTACCTGTTCAGGTGACAGGTAAACTATTTTGAACCGGACATTGATCGGTCTATTCAAAGTTATTTTCTTACATTTCAGCGGTTTGCATCTAATTAATTAAGTCAAAAAGATTTAAATGATCAGAAATACGTTAACAAATATGATTTGATGAAAAAATTAAAAAGGTGAAAATGAAAAATCGTCATAACCACATTGTTTGAACCAGAGACATGTCTCTGTTTGAACTAGTACACATGTGCGCAGGTGTGAAATTGAATTATGCATCCTAATTCCTTCAAAAAATGCTTAAATTGTCATCGATACCTTTATCTCACGTTTATTCCGAATATTTTCTTGAAGAAATAACGTAGAAAGAGCTACTTACACTCATTCATGCTTTGTAAACGTACACGGAATTTACGTATCCGTCTCTGGTCCATGTTTTACCATTGTTAAGATAACATCCAGTTTAGATTTAAAACGAAAGTAAAGTTTTTGACAACGTTATTCTGCACAAATAAAGAGTCTAAGCAGATATAAGTACGCTGATGTTGCACACTTCGAATGATGCACTGCCAATTTAACAGTTTATGTCAGAACTTCGAATTTGAATCAAAGAAAGTTTAATATCGTTTTTTTTTTTAATGTCAATCATTCTGATGGCCAACTCGGCAACTGATTACCATAATTGCCTTTTATTTATTTAGTCTTAAGGGATTAAAATCGGGATAATATATAAAATGTCCGGCTGGCTAAAAATAATTTTGGAAGCCTTGCTTTAAACTCGGGTGTATATAATTTTCGACATGTTACCTTCTTTTTGGTATTAGGACATTCTGGTACTCGGTCAAGAAAGAGCAACTAAAAGAGGTAAAATCATGCTTACAAATCAGTGCAATAGGCTATTTCTGGAATCATGTCTTTCACTGGAAAAAATCGTCAATTTTGCACGCCTTTATGACGTCATTTAGCAGATAGAAGGCGTGCCTGTATCCCTGCACTATTTAAGTTTCAAGCACTTTCAGAATCGTCATTCTGCAGGGTAGTCTAGAAATAATTTATGTTCCGTAAGTACGTAATCTTAATTCCTGTATGACTGAAGGGAGGGTGACCAACTTATTAGATTTTTATTTCCTGAATATTTTGTGCAGTATAAGATCAAATTTTTTCACCTGTTCGCTCAACATGTTTTGAAAGTGATGATGCCTACTGTACATTTTGGTCACATGGTGATTGAAATCACATGATAGCTTCAACTAACTACTGTATCCCGGAATTGGCATATTGGGGAAAAGTCAACTGTTTTCTGATGATTTTGTCCTGAAAACTTAACTGGTAATTTTTTTCCTGATCAACATTGCAGAGTTGTGGAACTTTATTCGTTGAAAAATCATCAAAAACTGTCACTTTTTCACACTTTGAATGGTTATAGAATTTTATTAGTTCAAAAATCATGGCCACAAATTTAGTTAAGCTTGAGGTAGTTGTTTTTTTTTTTTGGGGGGGGGTCTATTTGAGCAGTGCTCACAATATTTCTGGTTGATCATATAAATTCATTTAAGTAATAAATAAGAGCTAAAAGGGTGACATGTATTATGTGTAGTTTATTCACTGGGACCAAGGATTTGTATAGTCTCACTATACAAATCCTTGAGTGGGAGTGTTTTACTGTAAAAGAATTATCAAAATTTAGTAACTGAGAACTGACATAAATGTGCTAGAAATTATTATGTCTGATTTCAGAAAAAATTGAAATTTGATTAGCTATGCTTTAAAAATTGTTCAAGAATGGAAAATGTGACCATTTCCAGAACCCTTGATAGGTACAATGTACCCGTATCGTATATATATTGGAAAATGTACATGTATTATAATTAACAAAGTTAAGTGACGAAAATCAATAATTGAAATAATGCATTTGCATTACATACACCAGTAACTAAGATATTATAACAAAATGTTTAATAATGTGTGTTGGATGTGTATTGTTGGGTTTTGTTATTGCTTTATATGTCTAAATATTGATGACAAAATCTTAAAATAACTTAATAAGGCAATTTTTACAGTTTTTTCCTTAAATAAGAAAAATTGCATGATGTTTGAAGAAGACAACTTTCACAAATTGAAATATTCATATCAAACAAGATAATTTCTTGTGATAATGTGACATTGGGATGCCATTTGATAGCTTCTTTTATTCTTTTGGATTTTCAAACTTAGGGTAAAAAAGTGTCAAGTATCAGCTTTAATATTACATATTAACTTCCTGAATTGACAACAACAAATTCTTTTCTACTTGAGAAACCTTAAAATTTTACATTTTTATGAGAGGAACACAGTGTACACTTAAACATCATCATTGAAATATTCAGGGAAAACAATACTGTAATGAACAAAAATGTATTGATTTTCCTAGTACTTTATTTCAGTGAGTATGTTTTGGCGAATCAATATGTTTGTATTGTTTTAAACTTGGTACATGTATTCATAATTGACATGATTGATATTCCTTGAGTTTTCCAAAGATTATGAAAATTGGTACTTGCAACTTTTGTTTCTTTGGTTAGCTGTGTTGATGTTGGATAGGATGACACACAAGCACTAGATACTCTATCAGTATCGATTTACAAAGGTCAATTATTGAATATGAAGGAAATTTATTTTCACAGGAAGAAACCCATTGACTGAAATTATACATGTATTGATAAAAATTTGAATGTCTGTAATGACATGTCCTACTATCTGTTACCCTATAGGTTACTGTGAATTTATTATTATTCGTGGGAGACCAGTTTCATGCATGGGTATAGGTTAACCACGAATTGAAAAGATAAACAAAGTACACATTTATTATAGTTTTCTGTACAGATTTTGGCAAAACAACAAAAAATATTCAGGAAACTACATATTTCCTTCATTCCACGAAAGTTGGTATTCTTGAAATTAAATTAATTCACAGTACATTAAAGCACAATAAAATCTACCCATGCTTGTAAGTCAGGTGAAAGCAAAATGTATTTTCGTGTGTCAGAAGATGTTTATTTTCCGTTAGATGGACTCACAATGAGTCAGTGCTGATCATGATTACAAACATTCTGAACATGCATAAAATATACATGTTTATTTTTTAATACCTTTTATAATTTATACGGTATACCACATGCAAGGAAGTTGCAAAGAGTTTTTATGCCCACGCCGTAGTGGAGGGGGCATTAAATTTTACCCTTGTCCGTCCCTACGTCCCAAAGTTGGTTTCCGTTCTCTAACTTTAGTTTGCCTCAACAAAATGTTATGAAACTTATACACAATGCTTATTACCACAAAA